AGGTCAGATCTGACTTGCTCAGAGATGTACTAGATTCGCCTACCTTACCTTTCAATTTCAGATCACAAAAGTTCTTACTCATATCTGCAGTAGTCATTTGTTGACTCATCCTTTGAACTTTAGCAAACGAGGACTGGGGCTTATTAATCATTTTGATGATAGCATCACTCTTGCTGAGTTTTCTTCTATGGTTGCACAGTAACTTCAGAGAGACACACTTTCCTCCATCACTCGACCAAGTTCTTCATTGAGAACACCAATCTCGGTTTCCCTTTCACCCGCAAGTTTCTGCACAGCAAACAACTCATTACGCAATGATTCAATATTAAAATTCTTCTCACCACTTACCTGCTTGCTCAGTTTATCGTTGTGTTCAAGTAGAGCAATCTTGGCATGACAACTATTGACATCCTTATCTTGCTTTCCAGCCTGAAGATCTGATTTGATGAGCTTCTCGTTCAGCTCTACGATCAGAACTCTCATCATCTGAAGTTCACTCCTAAGATAAGTGATCTCCTTCTCACGTTCGACTGATCGTTGTTCCAACCGCTTCATCTTTTCAGTCTGGGCTTGATACTTCTTGATGATTTTGGCAGCTTTGAGACACTTCTCTATAGCATACTTGTGAAGCACAAGATTCTCAGCAGCAGGGTCGGAGAATTCCTCAGGTTAGCTCGATTCTTTAGTGTGAGAACCTGCATCAGATTCAGCATCAGTAAGATGCACAGAAGATGTAAAGCAGTTATAATTATTATGAGGATATATGGCAAGATTATTGGTATAGTGAGAGTTTTCAGTATTCTCAGATTCTTCATCCTCGTCTTCGCTGCAGTCAGACCAAGTTGCCTTATAGGTCTTGTTCTTCCTCTTGAAGTCGGGGCATTCTTTTGGAAAGTGACCGAACTCTTTGCATTCTCGACACTGATCTTTTTCTACGCCTTGATTAGCGTTCTGAAACTTGCTCAACTGCATATTGGGACGCTGATCACCCAATTGCTAGATCATATTCTTACTTCATTCAAAGGGTTTGTTTCCTTGAAATCGTTTCTTCTGAAACTTCTTCAGTTTTGAGACATTTTTAGTAAGAACCGTGAGAGCCTTCATAATCTCATCAGCATCAAAGGATTCTTCATCCGAATCATCCTCTTGAATTATTGTTGTGCGATCCTTGGCTTTTAGAGCTAGGCCTTTTCCTTTGGCTAACTTCATTGAGTCGAAGTTGTGGTTTATTTCAAACGTGCGTAGATCGCCAAGGAGATCATCAATGCCAAGTCGTTTAATTCTCTGAAAACTCTCAAGGGCTGTGATCTTGATTCCAAACCTGTCCGGCAAGGTTCTCGTCAACTTCTGTACTTGCCTCGCCTCTGATATGTGTTCACCAAGCATTGCACTTTGGTTTATAAGATCACAGAAACGTGCATAGTACATGTCAATAATTTCATCATCTCTCATCCGGATCTCATCAAGTTCAGTCGTAATCCTTTGAAGCTTCGAGGATTTAACAGCGTTCGTACCTTCGAATTGCCTCTCAAGAATCTTCCATGCGTCGTAAGCTGTGGTGCACTAAATAATCATCTTGTGATACGTTGGATCCACAGCCGACATGATAGCACATAGTGCACGAAAGTTCGCTTCTTCAGCTTGTCTATCTTCATCAGTCTAAAGATCTCTTGATTTCTCAACTAAAACTTGATCTGCCGAAGTCGACGACGAGGATTCACTTGCCTTAGTTTCCAGTGGAATTTTTTTCATAAGCGGCATAGTCCATCCTGACTCAACAACTTGCCAGGTTCCTTTTCCCAGGGAGAGAAGAAAGATGACTATCATGGACTTCCAGTATCCATAGTTCGAACTGTCAAGGAATGGAGGGCGCGAAACAGACATACCATCGTGATTCATGGTGACCAACCCAAGGTGCCCAAAGATCTTTATCCTGTGATTAAAACAGGAACACTGCTCTGGTGCCAATTGAAACGTATATATTAATCGAGAGTGCGCTCAACTTTGTAAGAACAAGAGTAAAGATGAAATATAGCGGAAGCAATACACCAAAGATTTAAAAACTCTTCAGGGAAGCATCCCACTTCCCCTCAGAGCTCTTTCATTGATAACTCTTACAAACATAGTTTAGTCTTACAAAAACTAGAACTCCCTTCTAGTCTAGCCTCACTATGAATCAATCTATCTACCACTTCTCCGGCCACTTTCCGTGGACTTATTTTTCACACATTTACTTCCTAAGTGTAAATAACGAAATGTCTGAATCGGAATAAAGGAAAAATACAATCAAAATGATTTCAGTTCTTCGGTGATCGAGTGTTCCGAGAACTAAACTGAAAATAAAATGTAAGCACAAAAACTTGAAGGTCAAAGGTGGCGTGTGTAAGTGATAATCTCAGCAACCCTACTTCGATATTCAAGGTGAGTATTTATACAATTTCCTTCGTATGGAGTCTTCTAAAGATTCTTGATTTCCTTCCAAGTTTATCCAAAGTCCCATAGTGGCATTAGAACTCTTCTTCTCTCTCGTAAGATCTTCTTTCCTTACATGATGATCTTCTCTTGATCTCTCCTTATCTCATGAGTATCCCTTCCTTAAAACCGAGATCCTACAAAAACAATACCAAAATGAGATCATGTAACTTAATTAATAAATAAACAGAAAATTCGAATATCTATCTAAATAAGTAAACTAACTTCTCTTAAATAGATTCCTTGTGCTTGTAGGAACATATCTTCAATATATTTATTTTTGAACTTATTCCAAAAATAATACTCTTTCAAAACTCTTGGTTAAATACCAAAGAGTGTTATCTCGACCTGTAGATCGAGCATCTCCTAGAAGGAATATTTTTTACCTAACCAATCTACTTGAAACTCTTTACAGAGATGTAAAATTATAACACCAACGAGTGTCAAATATTTGAAATTTGACAAAGAGATAAAGATCCAAAGAAACAAATGAGGATATTATAGGACCTGAAGTTCTAATGGACTTGAAGTCCACAAACGACCAAAAATTTATTCACTAAGCGCAATTGTGCTGAACTTTTATCACGCAAACTGCATCAGGCCTGATACTGCATTTGCGATGAAATTGCTAGCAATATTTACTATTTCTCTTCTAAAAGAGATATCATGATAAATATGGAGAATATCCCATTATGCTTTCATGTATGTTGAGTTGACTTGATATATGATATTGGTGGATAAGGACATCAATTGTATATTTGTTCCCTGAAGTACTGGATCCTAGATTGGTTATATATCTCTGAAATGGTATTAACCTTTTGTTACTTTTATTGAGATTTTCCCATATTTATCTCGAAGATAATATAGCTTGTGTTACACAAATAAATTATCTAAATACATTTGATGATACTAAATACATTTGATGGTATTTTTGAATATATTAACTCCGGAAGAGAAAAGAAAGTATCATGACGATTCATTTTTAGAAAGCTCTTACATAGAGGGGGAGCAGCAAACAATTATAAATGTAACTTGAAAGGCTCTTGCCTTCAGGGGGAGGGATAAATAAATCCCGAAGATCGAGCCCGAAAGGCTAATTTTAATCCTGAAAATTAGGCCCTGTCGGTCGGTGTTGTACTCTTTTTCCCTTAACTAAGTTTTTTCCCATGGAGTTTTACTTAGTAAGGTTTTTAATGAGGCAACAAGTGTAACACATAAATATACATATGTCATGTACTCTTTTCCTCGACTATTTTTTCTCACTGGGTTTTCTAGCGAGGTTTTTAACGAGGCATGGACATGATGCGGTAATGTCCAAGGGGGAGTGTTGTAAATATTAATTTGTGGACATTATACCTAGATATAGGCTTTGTAGGTATGGGCTAGGAGCCCATTAGGTCTTTAGTCATGTACATTGTATTCCCTTACATACAAGGCTCAAGTGAATGAATAAGATGATGGTTTTGACGACGTATCTCTTCTCTGTTATTCTCTTCTATTGCTTTCTCTCTTTGTCTCTCTTTATTTATCATAAACATCGATCTGACATATTGATAATCTATATTACAATACAAATAACAATATTAAACTTAAGTAATTTAATTATAAAATATTTTGGGTCAAAAATTAATAACGAGTGAAGTCCCAAAAGCCGTAATAAATACAAAGTGGCTGTTGAAATTCTTTATTAAGATATAAGTAGAAATCCATTCGGCCTCATTATCTTCATCAGTTTTCTTCCTTACGTCAACAGTTTCTTTATCAATTCTATTTTGAAAGTTCTTCAAATCTCAAATCTCAAAATCCAAATTTGAGCTCGAAGACAATCAATCAAGATGAATGCTTCTATTTTGCCCATCCTTTCACAATAGAATTGAGAGTTGAATTTTCTTTTTAATAAATAAAAAAAATACATAATAAAATAAAATGATTTTTTAGTGTGTCCCGCATCGCATTTCCACATTTCGCCAATTAAGACATCACTAACCATGGTCATTATCCATACGATTCATTTGCTAACCATGGTTTGTTAACTTTGTTCAACTATACAAGAAGAAACTGAACCTGCCTTTAGGACATCATTTATCGAATTAACCTTTATCCTTGTTCTGGTTCAGTTTTATTTGGTTCATATTCCAAGTCAAGAAAGCCGACGATCCAAAAGGTCAGAATACCGAAATCCTCCCCAAATAAGTAATAAAAATCCTCCAATTAATTTCCTTTTCTTTTTCTTCCTATTGTTACTCCTTTTTCTGTTGATCTTTCAACTTTTTCTATAATGAAAAAACTTCGATTTATAATTTTACAGAATTTCCATATTTTGTTTTTGAAGGATCATTAGCAAAAAGAAAGTCACTAATTAATGATAAATACCAACCGATATTCGGACAGTTATTGTCTTGGTTTCGATTCAATATACATGATCACATAATTCTTATTTAAACTATTTGAACTGTTTCCTAAAATAATTAATAATAATAATAATAATATGTAGTCCAGTCGGTGATTCTGCTTCTGCAGAGAGGAAAATGGCAAAGGAGAAGTATGAGGAAGCCATTGAAGGACTGCAAAAACTTCTCAGGTAAATCCGATCTTTTCGGCTGCTTTTGATCGCTTAATTATTTTTTCCCCTATTTTACCCTCGGGATTCCCCTCTCTATTTATGGCAGTCCGACGTAATTTACCTCAAAAGCTCTGACCCTTTCTGTTAATTCCGGCTCACATTCCCGTGCCACATCACCTGGCTTCATGAATTTTAATCCTACCATCCAATATTAAATATTGCAATTTCTTTTTCTAGAAAAATAGTGTAGAAAAAGGAATGAAAATAAACACGGTAATTTCTTTTTTCTAGAAATATATTTATTATACTATAGAGAAAACGAAGGAAAAGAAAGCAGAGTATGAGTGGGTCCCACGCGGTGTCTCAATATTATTTCGTTTTTGAATATTCAAACCCTTTTTTTTTTTTATTGAGTGCAGCGAGAAAAGTGAGTTGCGTGCGGCGGCCACGGCGAAGGTGAGGGAGTTGACAACGGCGTTGGCCGGGAAAGGGGCGACGGACACGGAAGAGAGGATCCGCTCCGGCTTCCAGCATTTCAAGAAAGAGAATTACGAGTACGTTTGACTATAGAATCAATGATAATAAACTGATTACTAAAATGAAGTGCGGCATAAAAGTAGCTGTACTTTAGGCAAAGGTGTTGGAACCTTATGGGCCTCAGAAATTGCCAGATTTTTTTGGAATTCAGTTTAGAAGATAACTATTACAATTTGGAAAATAACTTTTACAATTCATTTCACTAGTACGTAATCCGTGCGATGCACGGAATGTAAAATTTGGAAGAATAATATAACCTCACGTGCATTAGGATCGAAATTGAAATCATTAAAATACATAGGAACATTGTTGATGTTAAGCCATCAATTTTGACAAAGAGGCAGCAGCCTCATTTCTTTGACAAGCTCAAAATGAAGAAGAAAAAAACGTGCAGCACACCAAAGGAAGAAAAATCAAAGGCAGCCACACACATTCTTTGAAATTTGATGCATTTTGCATCTATAAATAGAGGGATCCTAATGAACAAAAATCACAACGAAAAGAACCAAATACAGAGAGAAAGAGAGAAAAAGAAAGGGAGCAGAAAGCAAAAGTTTTAGCTTCTGGGTGTATTTGAGTTGTGAGTTGTAAGTAGTTTCGAGAGTGTTTTGTAAACACGAGTGTATTTTCTTTTTCCCAACAAAATATCTGCAGTAGTCCGGAGACGTAGGCATTATTGGCCGAACTCCGTTATCAAATTGGTGTGTCCAATTTTTATTTTTTATTTCACTTTTATAGATCCGACTTCATGAAAATTCAGCGTATTTTTCCCAACAACTGGTATCAGAGCCAGATTGTTAATTCTGTAATTTTTGTGTGGGTTACTATTCCGTGAATAGTGAAAAACGGAAATAGTGCCAAATTTGTCGGCGCTACAAATTTATTTACCGACGTGTTTTGAAACACGGTCGTTCACAAAAATTATCAGAAACGATCCGGCAGTGAAGTCAGATCAGAGTCGAAGTGATGGCTGCAGACGAAGGAAAAATGAAAATCGAAAAGTTCGACGGTGCGGACTTTGGCTTCTGGAAGATGCAGATCGAGGATTATCTGTACCAGAAGAATATGTATCAACCACTCACTGGAAAGAAGCCAGAGGACATGAAGGAGGAAGAATGGAGTCTCCTTGACAGACAAGCTCTTGGAGCCATCCGGCTGACGTTATCCCGTAATGTTGCTTTTAACATTGCAAAAGAAAAGACGACAGCAGGCCTCATGAAGGCTCTTTCCAACATGTACGAGAAACCATCAGCCTCAAATAAAGTTCATTT